TTCGGGCTCCCATGTATCTGTTTCAAAGCTTGGTCCCCGCGTTTCAATCGTCCCATGCTCCTTCGCAGAGTTGTGTTACCTGAAACACAGGAGGCTGCTTTGTCTCCAGATGCATACTACTTGGCCAAGCAGCTAGCCGATCTGGACCATCCGGGTATCGTTGGTTTTCGCGACATCTTCTTTACCAATGCATTTGACGATAATTGTAAGTGGCAAATTATAAGTGATCTTTCTCTAGTTTGTGTCTATTTACGCAATTGATACTGATTAATCTTTTGAATTGCTGGTAGGGTTTCATTTATCCCCAGATTACTTTCTAACTAATCCGCTGTCATCGGCATTATATTGTAGTATGGAAAAACTCATTTTTGAGACCATTATCGTTTGTGCTTTGGAATATCTGGCAGTGAATACAACCGGATATCTGTTCGCTTGCATTTACTTCCTAAAAAATCGCTCTCGTCATCCGCTAAATAAAACTGCACTTGCCAATTCTGTTCCCTCTGCCTATGCAGAGCAGCTTGGCAGTTACGCCACCGGATATCGGAACGCATCCCTGCCTGGCCTAAAAATGCGATGGAGGACAAATGGGAATTGTTACGTCAATCGTTGAACCTTCTCTTCTTTTTACTTTGTCACGTTGCCCGTTAGTAACGAATCAAAATAAATCATGCGACATGATGTAACACATCAGCTTCCCATTATTATGCAACCACACAATACCATTTTGTCCGATCAGATGAACAATTAATTTGAGTGCACTTACTCCGCATACTATATCGCACCGAATGAAATTAGTTTCACGCTATTTTTCTGCAATTTTGAGGTTATCAAACTGCTCAGATTGATTAGTTCTGGTATACTAATGCCACAACTGTTTACTTTAGAGGAAAACCAAGCGGATTTCAATTGCAACGCTTTTAGACCGATTTATCTTACGGAATTTGTCCCTGTGGATGCGAAATGAAATTAATTAGGGACAATGAAGACACCGAAGTAGTCGAAAAAACACTGGCCGTTATCACTCATTACTGAATCGCTATGCTCAGACGTACTTCCGGTGATGTTCTGAATTTCGATATTCTCCTACTCGTGAAGGATAATTTTCGACAATTCGTGGGCTATGAAAATTCTCTCCCTCAGGTATTTTGCGTACAGGAAGGTATTCAAATCTGAATCAACGGTGAGGGATTATGAGCAAAACAAGAATATGTCGACGTATCGGGTTGGGCTGAGCAGTATGGGAGTGAGATGACACGTAAAAGAACGCTGCCCAAATGTACTAATGCATAGCGCACGAGGTTCGAGAAACTACACACGAATTTAGCACTAACTGCATGCGTAGGATGATAGAATAAAATTTTGACAAGCGTCGGTAGACAGTTCATCTGTAGACAGTGATGTGGTCAAAGAAACTATCGGGGCCCACGAAAATGGACTTGGTCTCATTACAAATCCATGTTGGGAAAATTTCATCTTAGTAATGTAGGCTCACATACAAAACCATTTCATTAGAATCGCGTGGGGCAGAAGCTCGTTCAAAGTATTGACGTTGTCATCAAATTTCTCGTTGCCTGCTTTGCTCTTACATAGGTCCTGCTAGTTCACCTGTGTTCCAGACCGAGAGTAGTCGCTGAATATCTCTGTCTCATTCGGAAGTTCAGTTGATAGGCCTTTTTATCCACGTTACTCGGTCATCAGCATGGCAGATAATACTGATTTCTTACTGAATTATAGGTGTAGGTTCTTCCTCGTTTCAGCTCGGATGATCTGAACCGCACACCGTTCGTCTGGTTCGGCAAATTATAGGCGATGAACTCCACGATACATAACTTGAGTGATTGCTATCCACCTATCCTGTGTGATATGAATATTAGTTTTGTATAACCGTGCATTATCCAGCATATCTGAAGTATATCTGGCTACCATGGTGAGCTATCAATTTCACCCAGGATTACTATCATTTCGCGATCATGGGGTCGCTTTTTTAGGGTAAATAAATTTGGAAGAGTCTGTTGTAGCCCGTTTTTGTCCTATGCCTTATTGAGCTTTCGTCATCATATTAAATGTGTTTAAACTGGATGGCTTGGCTAACGATAAACTACGGAAAAAACAGGATGATGTTGGCAACATCGCACACATTGTATTGGTAGCACACTTCACCTAGTTTGCCTACTGAATATACGAAGAATGGAGGCTTCTTTCTTCGTTTTTTCTACTTTACTACAATTTATAATTGAACACTTGTCGTTTGTGTTGTAAACCACGTGTCGACAAACTTGGCCATTTACCGAATCACGCTTAAGGGGTGAGCTGAATAACTTGTTTTCTCTCGCTCCGATTGGTGCTTCAGAATAATGGAATTCCAAATCCCCTTTTTCCTCCACTATCCCTAGCTGCGGTCGTTGTATACGAGTTTATTCCGTGTTCGTCGACGCTTCAACAGACCCATATGAGTGATCCGATGAAATTGACCAGTTTTAGTTCACCCTTCAATGTGAGTCGTACCGTGCGACCACACAGTTCACTCAAAAGTACGTCCATTTCTCTCCGACATGTTGCCCTTGTTGATATCCTTTTCATCGGTTCACAAAATTCCTGACTCATCCCCTCGGAGTTATCATATATTTTTTCTTCCATGTCTTCCGCCTATCCTCTGGCGATAATTTCCCACTTTTTGTCATGTGTATCGTTTTAGGCGCTCCGTCAGACCTCGGCATGCTTCCGGAAACCACAGTGTGGTCTTATCTGGTGCAGTTGACTCATGCCTTACGATTTATTCACCAACAAGTGCATCGAGCGTGTGGCATTCTCGATCCGACCAAAGTTCTCATCCAAGACGGGACTAGGTAGGTTTTTGTAATATTGACGTCACTGTTCTACCTTTGTCCTATTGTTTTTCGATGAAATCATATCAGTTGATCGACTCATACTTGATTGTTTCACAATGGTTTACACAAATTTAATACAGCAGGGGCCTCTTTTTAGACGTTCATTGATATAGCGCCTCTTGCTCAATGGCAGCCAAGGCCATCGATGGGATTTTAGTGGAGAAGCTTTCCTCGTAGACATGTCGGTGAACCATTAAAACGCGACCCTCTGAGCGGTGTCATATTTGTAATCATAATAACGGGTATTTTGTTTTCATAACCGGATCTACAAAATTGCTCTGGATAACCATCATGATACGTCTCGCGAGATTGATCAGCTCGGGGTCAAAAAAGCATTTCCCTAGTATTTACTCTTGGTAAAAAAATTAATACCTCACTCCACCAGAGCAAGTCACGCATAAATCTATCTAGTCGTCCAGACAGATGCTCACAATTATAAGATCCAAACGATATATATATATATATAATGCATGTTATACATGTTACATGATTGTATCCTAATGGTAGATCAGTGTCACGCTTATTCTCCTTGTTTACTTTGCGGGTTGCCACAAAATAAATGGTTTTCTCGTGATTGCGAATGCATTTTTTCCACCTTTAATCTCATCACGTTTGATAGCGTAATAGAATAGAGACAGATGCACTTGCAGTTAGTTACTGGGATCCTTCACACAAACAACTTATTCCGGGCTTTCTTGTCACTGAAATTGGTTTCTCGAGATTCACCCTTGTTATGTACCTCTTATTCCCGTCTTTTTATATGTATTGGTAGACTTCGAATCAATTGCTTCGGGTTGAAGGACATTCTGTTTCACGGCGCTCAAGATCCAAATGTAGCAGAGGATCAGGTCAGTCGCGCTTTCTTTTCCACGTACACTCAGTTTCGAACTTAATTAATGGAAGTACTCAAATTTAGCTGTTTCACTGCGTCAAATTTGGTGGTTAGACTCACTGTTGCATAATTATCAGCGTGAAACCACGTGCCTCTACTGGATGGACTGTTAATTTCTGTTATAGTTCTAAAGTTCAAACTCTGTTTCTTCATCCTTCCTTCAGTTTTTTTTAATTATCCCATCTCCTATTGGGAATTCATTTAGTTCCATGCTTGGAGTTTAAGTTGACGGTTGATCCTCGGTATGACGAGATTCATCACATTGTGGTTCGAAAGCGAATTCTTACCATTTCAGTGTTCACTTGCTGCTGTTTCAACAACGAAAGCATAATTCTCAAAACGACCCTCTTGCGAAATTCTCGCCCAATTTGCTTGTGTTCTGTCTCTACTATTTTTTACTGTTATTTTGTAGTCGGTCATTGGCACAGTTTGTCAGTTGACTTATTACTCAATTGTTTGGAAAATGGAATGAGAAATAATGCACAGCAACCCCATTGAGATCTTAGTTTAATAATTGGCATTTAAGTCAAAAATCTTGTCTGAATTCACAGGCGTTAATTAATCTTCCACTCTACAGGGTTTCAAGGTCTAACTTATTTCGGTGCAGACTGCCATCCACGTAGCCATTATGTGAATGCTGTCCCAGTTCTTAAGTGTCATTGATAGCTTGGTGAGCCTGATAATTTTGGCTTGTTGTGAAGTAAAAAATGAAACAAATCCGTCAATGTGTATCGTGATTTTTCACGGGCACGTTTCAGCTTTTCTTTCTATTGATTTATTTTTTTGTCATCAGCAGCGACGGAACCGCCATTTTCTCGCGATTAAACCCAAAATCTGTTCGCACTGTTCAGGCCGCCCAAAGGTGCCTAAACACTCACTAATTTGTACTTCCAGTTGAGTTCAACAACAGAAAGAACACACCCACAGCGTGTATCGATTTAAGCCTCACAACTGTGCAACAACTTGTTTACGAGGTTTTCGACTCACGTGATTACTAGTGGTTCTTGAAGGTCTCCAGTAACTGTATTGTTCCGAACACTCCAGCATCAGCGGTTCAAAGGCGTTAATCTAGCGAATGCAAAAGCATATCACTGAGAATCTATATCAGTATTGATTACACAAATGCAACATGATTTTGTGAACTTTTGTTTATCTGTGCCCTCTTCATTACTGTGCGTGTGTGCCGTCTAAGAATTACTGTTCTGCAAATATAATTCAATACAACAGATATTTATCTATGGATTTCAGTTTATCCCGTGCATACTCACAGATAACAGTACCTGAGATAACTGCTCATTGCTCGGTATCGGCCATCGATCGAAAGATCAAGTGATTTAACTAATTTGACTTCCATCTATTTGATGTACAACGTATCTGGCACCTAGTTTCCGATAGAACGGCACAAGGGGTACCAGGTAACATCAATAAACAAAAGGATTGGATTGTTATGATGGGGTTCGATCATGAAGACCATGTGAAATAATACGTTGGTGTATATCACTCGGTCGCCGCCAACAAACAACGGAATGAACAATTCGCGCCATCAAATTAATTGAAAACTTGCACCATTACGACCACAAACCACCAGATAAATTACACATCAAGCCCTTTGGACGTTTCTCCCGTAATATAAGAGCTGAAATCGAATTGAAGTGTTCTTAGGGAGC